TTTGAAAGTTTACTATTATTTGAATAAGTATGCGCTAATGGATAGCTAAGAAGAATATAATGTAAAATAAATAAACTTTCTGAAACAAAATTTAAAAACGGGGGAAAGTTTTTTTCGTTTATCTCAGAAACATAAAATGTGGACTTGCCTCTTTCTTGCAGCAATGTCTTCAATTGATTCCACCAGGAATTTCGTGCCGTTGGGGCGAAGTCTGTTTAGTGAAAAATTCATTGTTAGACTATGTAATCGTTGCGAAAAAAAAGATTTGTGAGATTGTATTTGGGTGTTGGAAACCTGCTACCTTATATTAGAAACCTATCTCATAATAGAAGCCTTTTCCTCTATATATAAAAAATTGAAACAAAGTACGCGCAATGAATGTTTGTGATGTTAATTATCGTTTGGAAATGAAAAAGTGAATAGATGTAAGTAGGTTGCAAATTTTTTTAAAGTTAAAGTTACTCACCCCTCGGAAAATCGTCGCAGCTGTTGCTGCAGATCCTCGAGCTGTCGCTTGCCAACTCCTCAGGGTTTTGGGGCCAGCTTAGAATATTTTGAGAAGCTCTCGCTCTCATGCGGGGCACAATAATTTCGGCTCAAACGTCGAGATATAATATTCGACTCTTCGACGACAAATATCTCATCCTCGATAGCAAGGATGTAACATATCCTCTTGAAATATGTCGTAACTCGTGCAGGTTTTTCTTCTCGGAATATTATGTACGGTATTTGCACGGAGTCACCTATACGTGGAGAAACTACCGTATCCAATTCTAGAAATGATCGCGAGATGTAAATATTTGACAAACCGGACGCCTGGCTCTCCAAGCGCAATTCACACTGTTTGGGGAAAACTAGAAATGTGGGTAAATAAGATAAAACTAAAGGAAAGTTTTGAAAATAATGAATACTGTCAGCATTTTGTTCAATTGTACAACATAAATCGGACAATTTTAACAAGTTACATTTCACGTTGCATAATCAATGACAATGCAAGGAGCATGCGAGAAGGTACGAAAACAATTATGAAAATTGGACAATTACACGAATAATTACATTAAAAAAGTAACGTTGCACTTGATAACTAATAGGCGTATGAGTATCGCCTCCTCAAAGAACAATTGTGTTAGAATGTAAAAAAAAATCTTTGTTAAAATTCCTCGAGGCCTCTCTGCTAGAGATTTCCATCCCAAAGTAATCATGATCGCGAAATTTCTGTTACATCCAGAGTTGCACAACATTGTGTTTGACTATCAGAGTTACTTGATATATGTATATGAAACTATTCAACAAGTTTCTTACCATTATCGAGTCACGTCCCAGGAATGGATGAATTGTTCGCAGGAAAGCTTTGTTCTCGTAGGAATATGTACCGAGTGTCATCGCTGTTTGTTCTCTTTCTACATCTTTCGAAAGATGCCACACGAGAAAGTTGGATGAACTTATTAACACGTTGTCACATACACACACACACACACACACACACACACACTTTTTAAAGTATTTATGCACGAATACATTACGTAACGTCCCACGTTACGTTTATGCACGAATACATTACGTAACGTCTCACAATATAAATCAACAATTGCGTTATGAAATGAAACAACAAATAAATCATGTAATTGATAATGGAACGGACGTTTCTATCTTTATTTATAAAACAGTACTTTGAATAATCTATACATAAGGATTTTGTGTTATTTGCACACGTTTACATTTATTACGTTACATGTTCGCGTATAAATAACAAATATGCAAATTGTATATGTGCCTATATTGGATTTGAGAAAAATTTGCAAAACTTTTCTAGTTAGAAGAATTCTTCTAAAATTTTTGATCGCGGTCGCGAGAAAAATTGATGCGCAAATGGAGAAGTGAATGCATTCGTAAATTACTTTATCTATTTTCAGCTAATAAAAATATTCTTAAATGTCGCCAGCAGTAATTAACAACGTCAGTGTATTCTTGACCACATCTGGCATTTGTAGAAGCCCTGACTGAGGTAATATTTTTCGCAATAAATTTTCTGTATTATTAAAAACGCCAGATATGGTCAAAAAACCACTGACGTTGCTTATCTTATATTTTGTTGGAATTTGAGAGCAAAGAGAGGTGTTTCCGCGCGCTCTTGATTTCAAAACTAATTTCTATGCATTACGATTTAATAAAATCATTACCACGTATCGATGTAAATATAATATTGATGTAATTGTAAATTTACCACGTACTTGTAATATTAACAAATCAATTGCAGTTTACAAAACTCGGTACACTAGTCTCGTTCTCGATCTATCCAGCAATGTGAGTCATTAAGAAATAATGTTTCTGCGTTAGTATCTTTGTAACATTTCTAAAATCGACATCGCAAACGATAAGCTCGTGTGCAAATGTACATTTCTTAAATCTACTACGAAACTTCTCGTTACATTTCTCGTTGGATTGTCGTCATCTACTCAGGTACACCTAGCGGTTAGGTATTCGACGGTAATCCGGGGGTACGCACGATTTTGCTTGAATTTCATTCATATTCGTGACGCACATCGGAAGATTCCACTTCCTCCACTTCACGTTTGCTCAATAGCTCAACGTCCTCCAAAATTCCTAACATTTGAATAATAAAGTTAGCGAAGTCAAACTGCTTCCGACAATATTGGCAAGTGCATATCCCAAGTGATTAAGCAATACGGAAATTGCCAGCAGCGCGCACCTACGCACATTGGACATTTTTTTTTAACTGATGTTAATTAAATTACAGAAAATGCAGTGAAACCTCTTGAAATGCTGCTCTTCAACGATGTAATTTTTCCACTGTGCATCGCACATCGGTACTTCGGTCTTCACTCGATATTCAATCAAAGTTCTAAAATCTTTTTACTTATAATTAAGACTCGTCATTGGTTTCTGTAGCCAGCTTTTAATTTGTTTTATTGAATAGAGCGTTCGTGATAATTGCTTCATTTAAATAAAAATTGCAATCTCTACAAGTTGAGGTAGAGAAGACGCTTAATAATGAATATATTTTATGAATGCCAGTGACAGAAGCAAGGATTGTCAATCAGGAAATTTGTTGATACGCTTTTTTTTTAATCAAATGCCCTTTTGATCCAATTGCGAGAAAATTGAATCCGTGATGATGCGGATATTACTTTTAACTCTATCTGTATATAGATTCAGAGAAAATGGAATGCTACACGAACCGAATAATAACGTTAATTTATAACACACGTTGTAATACGTGTAGCGCCCGTAGTACATTAAATTTAAAACTAACGAGAAACGGCTGTTTGATTGAAAAAAACTTCGCCGCAGTATAAAATAATTTTCCCTCTTTTACACCCTCACATGTGCAATGACCGAAGTGACCGTGTGCACAGGCGAACAAAGAACAAGAAGCCCACTTTTTTTATAAAAAGAATGTTTACTTAATGACGTACCCGACTTTATATCACCACTTTTACGTCATTACAGGGTAAATTCGGGTTATGGCCATACGGAAAAGATGGCCACAAGCTGTAACTTCTCCAATAATCGCTGAATAGTGTATTTTTATTGTTGCTCTCAAAGATAATTAATTTTTACAGTAGTTTATGTGCATATACTATTCGAAATAACAATACCGTGAATATTATATTACATTTTTACTTTTGACTGGCCGCAAAATTTTTCATGTGTCCACTAACAGCTGTAACGTTAAATAAAACTAAGCAAAACACACACACATACACACAATTGTTTTTTTTTAATTGAGAAAAACCTTTGTTTTGTTTCCTCAAGTTTAAAAGATGTTAATTTTTCTGCTATTACTGTAATATCATATTTAACGTTTTATGATTATGTATTTACAATCGTAACTGTATTATATATAATTAAATGTATTTGTAACTAAATATGTGAAATTATGTTTTCTTTATTATTTACAATATATTAGGTGCTTCTTTTGCATATAATATATGCAGGGTTGGGAAGTTACAATTACTTCTTTTTGGCAACTCTAACTCCGTTACTTTCTCTACATCTGTAACTATAACTTAACTCAGTCGCGTTCTTTCGATAACTAGTAAGTAATTTAATAGTCACATTAATAGTTACTTTATATATTATATTTTAAACCTCCGCAGATCGCATTAGGCCATGCATTTGCGCAGAAACGCCTCTATCGCCGCGTTACAATTCAAATGCAGATTTGATATTTTTATTTTCATTGCAAGGGAGTAACTGCAACGTGACGATTCGTTACTGTTCGAGTAACTGTAACTGTGACGCGTTACTCTTCAGGATCGGTAACTTGTAACTGTAACTGTAACTAGTTACTTTATGGGCAACTGTTGTATTATTACGGCCATCTTTTCCCTACAAGTAAGATGGTCAATGCATACGTTGTAATATTTTGACAATATAAAATTTAGGTATGTCAAGTGTGTCTTTTCGTTAGTTTTGATAGTATTACGTACTTCAAGCTTCACGAGGCATAGTACACCAAGCACAATGAGAAAATAACAAAAATAAATGTATATTTTTTGCATTAGAAAAATTATGGCCATCATACCTGAGTTTACCCTCTCACATTCCCGTAATTATTTTAACGTACAAATAACATACAAGTCGAAATACCCACGGCCAGAAACGCTTTATTGTAATTTCACTGATTTAGCAACACCTATCAGAGGATATTATTATTATGATTGCCACACATTTTGCTATTTTAAACTTCTGCTCTCGATTTCCTTGAATTGCACAATTTTCTTACGTGAAACGAAATGCGTCACTTTGAGATAAAAAGTCACACCGGCGAGTCTGGTTTATCAAGGAGCATTAAAACGCGTTTATAATTTCTGATACGAATCAGGGTTCTCGCCGAGAAAACTGGAACACGCGATTCAATGCGGGTTTCTAGGCAAATCTCAGCGTGCATGTTGTACATTTTATGTACTACGCCACGCTACTTTGAAAAGATAAATATACCCTCGCGGAAACAATGGAGGAATTCTTCTATCCGAGTGATATTCCTTCATTGCGATTTCTTCTCGTGCATTGTTCCGATTCATCTTAGCTTTTCTATCAGTCTCTCCCTCTCTCTCTCTCTCTCTCTCTCTTTCATGAAAGTTCATCGTTCAAGTAAAGCGCCCTTGTGTTTCACATAGATATATGTATATATTAATCGATGTATGCTAGGTCTCTCCACACTATATATGATACAAACGTCAATGTTCGCCGCGTTTTAAAGGTCAGTGGAGTTTTTAAATAAATACATTCCGCTCGTTTTGCTAAAATGTTTTTCTAGGCGACGTTGACCGCTGAATCTTCTGTACATTCTTCGTCGATCGGTGTAATTAGCGTATCATTCTGTATCAATTAAATTGGCAAGTTCTTGAACTTGATTTTCCAAAAATTACCGTTCGGTATTCTCATTTCTGTACGTCGGCTAACATTTAATTTGCACGAAAAGCAGCTACTTACGCGAAATACAGTTCGCCACGTGATTGCACAACGTTACCCGCGGTACAATTATCGTTAATGATCTTCGATGGAACAATCGGAATTTCGACGAGTCGCGTAATTCGACGTCGCTGCGCGAAGGTGGGAACGTCGAGGTACTCGATCGGCCGACTTTAAGAGAGTAAACCGCGTAGGACATGCTTGCTTAGAACGATTACACGAGTGACCGATCGGTGGTGAGGAACAGACTCCAGCATCCAGTCGCCGCCGCAGTCCCTCACGTATTCGCCGCCCTCCGACCCTTCTCTCCTCTCTTATCGCGTTGCTCC